GCCACTGATGCATAAGCATTTAAAAGACATCTCCCTTTTAAATCATTTTGTGAGGTAGGATGGACATATGGCTCAGCAGTGGAGGACCAGTCTAGCATGGGCACCGCCCTAAATTCAATCCTCGGTGTGCCAAAGAAAGGATGTCATACATTCTTACTTTTAGGTATTGTTACAACAGTGAGAAAAGCAACTAATACAGTAGCTCAGGCTGACCGAAAGCATGCCATCCTCCTGCCTCATCCTCCTCAGCGCTGTGACTACAGGCACGTATCTCTGCAGCCGGCTTGGGGTATGTCTTTTTAAATGAATCCTGACATTCCAGATGCTTGTCACACACTCTACCACTGAGCCACACCTTTCGTCCCCATTGCTAGTTCCTCACGTCTTCTTTTCGTCACCTTGTTCTCCTCTCTCCTTTTAGAAATATCATTATTCATAAATATATCAGCATTTTCCATGCTTGCTGTTTTCTCACAGGTCTCTGACAATTCCCCACTTATCCTGATCAGGTTTTTTTTTTCCTCCCCAGACTTCATAAGCACAATTGAACCACTCTCCAGCTCCCCTGTGCGGCAAGCTCCTCAAGCCGCCATGTATTGTATACGTACACTCTACAACATCTATCCGGTTCCTCCTTATAACTTCTGCTCCCCATATTGACAGCCTCCCTTCAGCGAGGCTTGTTCTCACGGTTCCCCGACTGCATTCTTTGCATGTGGGTTATTTCTCTGAGCGTAGTGATAATCGCTGATTTGAAGCCTGAACTTCCTCACGGGAAGTTTCTGTGGAACATTTCATCCTCCGAACACAGGCTGTACGCTCTCCTTATCTCTGTGCCTATCAAATGTTGTTGCTGTTGAAATATGGATAATTTACATGGGACAATATGGCACCCGTGGAAATCAGATATGAGCTCCTCTTGAGAGTTTATTATTATTGCCTTGGTGTTTACTTGTATAGCAATGTTTCGGAACAAATTCTGGGAATTCTCCACTCAATCGGTTGGTGGTCAGCTAACGATTGAGTAGAGATGATCTTAATGCATTATAGTATTTAGACAGGGGCCTCTCTGTGAGCTTTTTGATGAGCCTTCTCCACTCTTGCACAGTGTTTACAACGCTGAATCCTTGGTCTTCACTCCCTGCTAATGTGGAGCATCACTGTCAACTGAAAGTAAGAAGTTGGGGTGTTCATAGGTATTTTCTGGGCACAGCCCTGCACACATGTGTGGTTTTTTAGATCTCTTTAAAGATGCTGCAGCTTTTCCAAAATCTCCTGGGAGCATCTCAGGGTCGAGTGTTTCCTTTTATGGCTTCTCAACTTTTATGTCCCAAGTGTGGCCTCTGCTTTAAGCAACCCAATGGTAAACATTGCTCATGATTGTCCTCAACAATGCCCCAGCTTGTCCTTCAACAGAGCTCTGGACAGATCAAATAAAGTTAAGCTCTAGCTCCTCGAGACACAGGCACAGGCAAGGACTATTTTGGAAAGGATTTCTCAATAGCCCATAAAGTAATAGCAAGCATTGAAAACCAAAAAGACTTCTGCATGCAAAGGAAACACTCAGCAGAGAAGAGAAGCCTATGGAATGGGATGGAACATTTGCCAGCTATGTGTCTGACAGGGGCTAATACACACAATCTATAAAGACCCCAGAGGATTCATCCAATCAATATGTGGGGAAATGAATGGAACAGACTTCTAGAAAGTACACATTGCTAATAAATACTTGAAAAAAATGTCCACCATCCATCACTGTAAGGGAAATGCAAAGCAAAACTACACAGAGAGACTATGGATCTCAGAGGAGAACCTACTGGTGTCCCTTTACTAGATCAGCATAATCCCTAACTAGACTCTAAAGCCTAACCTTGTACCCACAGAGCAGTGTAGTTCTCACTCCTTATTCAAGAAGACTCTCTTGGCAGTGTCTAGAGACCATTAAGAAAACCACAACTGATCATATTACAAAGATCAACAGATCAGAGGGTGCCAGGTCCAGCGGATATAACACAATCTATAACACACACCCATGACACAGTTCCTTCACCTTAGGATCGGGGAGCATGGAGGAAGAGGGGACAGAAAAGTTGTTAAGAGCCGGAGGAACAGAAAGTCTGCTTTGAGACCGTGTCTCCTAGAAACGAGACAGAAGCTACACCCATGATACCTCAACAATATGACTTCCTAAAACAGACCTGAGTGATTAGTAGTCAGGCTAATGTGCACAATGGGAAATCTCACAGAATCCATAGACAAAGAACTGCAGGCGACTAAAGACTTAGTTGTCCCCAGGGCTGATCCTCTTGAATGGTTATTCAATTCCAGATGGTCAGCCCTAAAATCATATACATACAAGTAAGACTAAATAGACTTATCAGGTTTCATTTGCATATCTATACATGTATATATACACATACACACATATATGTAAATGCATAATAAGTACATATAAAATCAATAACAAAGAAAATAAGGCCATGAATTTTAGATGGAGCAAGTGGGATAAACAGAAAGGGTTGGAGGGGGGAAAGGAAGGGAAGGAATGGTATAATTATATCTTAATTTTAAAACTAAAAAATGTATTTATGAAAAAATAAAGACTCACAAAACTATACTGAAATTCTGTTTCATACTAGTCAACGATGTCAAAAAAAAATCAAGAAAACAAGCAGCCAGGTGATGGTGGCTCATGCCTTTAGTCCCAGCACTTAGGAGTCAGAGGCAAGCAGATCTCTGTGAGTTCGACACCAGTCTGGTCTACAAAGTGAGTTCCAGGACAGTCAGAAAAACCTGTCTCAAAAAGACCAAAACAACAACAAAAATACCCCCTCCAAACAAAAAAAAAATCAAAAGAACAAAACAAGCAATAACAAACGTTGGAGAGGATGTGTGGAAAGATGAAGTCTCATGCATTGTTAGTGAAATACAAACTGAGACAGCCATTATGGAAATCAGAATAGAGGTTCATCTGAAAACTAAAGGTAGGATTACCATACGAATCTCCCATGTAAATACATAATTAACATACTTCAGAGATGCTTGCACAGACCTATTTGTCCCTGCAATATTCACAGTAGTCGAGATATAGGACCTGCCTAGATGTCCACCAATGGATGGATGGATAAGAAAATGTGATCTATATACACAGTAAGGTTTCATTAAGCCATAAAGAACACCATTCGTTTAAAAGAGGAAGGTTTTGGAGGTCAGGATATTAAGTAAAAACAATCCAGATGCAAACAAATATTGCATGTTTTCTCTCGTGCATGAAATCTAGGCTTAAGTACATAGACACAACAATACACACACAGAACCACATAGGACATAAAATTAAAGATAAGGATGAGGGAGGAGAGAGGGACTAAAAGCAGAAGGCCATGGGAACAGGAGAGAATAATGGGAAAAAGAAAGACAAAGCGTTATGTTTTCTCTCAGATGTAGAATCTAGATTTAACTATAAGCGTATATAGACATATACACATATCTCCATCTACCTATGTCTACCTGTCATCTATCTAACATGGAAACAGAAGCGAGGCTGCTGTTTAGGGAGAAGAAGACCAATGGGAGTGAGAAGAGACAGGGGAAAGTAGTGGGCAGGTGAACATGAGCAAAGGCCATTGAGATGTGTGCCTATGAAAATATCATAATGAAACCCATCTTGGCACTAAAAATCAGTGTTAGTTTTTATTTGAAAGACAAACTCTGCAAGTGGAGACCTTCAGGGAGTTCACGGAAGGGCCAAATAGCAACAACTCTCTGTGTTGGGTTTTTAGGTGGTCCCCAGCCATGCTCTGCTCTCCCTGGGCCGCTAGGATGCTCATTTTCCAAGTCTCCAGGAGTGCGAGGCCATGAGGTTTCATGGCTATTGGATGCTGGGAAAAGGAGACCGGGGTGAGGTAGAGGTCCTAGTTGCTTTTCTTGCTGCTTTGGTTAAACACCCTGACAGAATCTACTGAAGACAGACAGGGTTTATTCTGGCTCTCAGGTCAAGGATACAACCTGTCATGGTAGAGATGCCACTGCAGCAGGAGCTTGAAGCAGCTGATCACATGACATCGTCCCACCTGTGGGCAGAGGGCAATGGGTGCATGCTCCCTGGTGCTCAGCTCTCTCCATAGCAGGCTTTCTTGGACTGCCAACCCTCAAATCATGACACCGAGACATTATTAAGAACACTTGGCCTAGCCGGGCGATGGTGGCGCACGCCTTTAGTCCCAGCACTCGGGAGGCAGAGGCAGGCGGATCTCTGTGAGTTCGAGACCAGCCTGGTCTACAGAGCTAGTTCCAGGACAGGCTCTAAAGCCACAGAGAAACCCTGTCTCGAAAAACTAAAAAAAAAAAAAAAAAAAAAAAGAACACTTGGCCTTAGCTTGTTTCTATTTAGCCTTTGTTTTTAAAACTTAAATCAACCCATTTCTATTCATCTATGTGCTTCCCTGAAGCTCCTTTACCTCGTCCACATACTGTGCATTCTGCTTTCCTGCTTCCCTAGTTTTGGTTAGTTGGCCCGGGTTGGCTGGTTGACTGGCTGGCTCCCCTTTTCCCTCTGTCTGCCAGCCCTGCCTATCCCTCCTCCTCTAAGAAGCTATTGGCCATTTAGTATTTGAGCAGACTCATCAGGTGCCTTAGGCAGACAAGGTAAAACAGCAACACACACCTTTACCTGGTTAAACAGAAGCAACATAAACAAAAGGAACACAACTTTGCATCGTTAAGCAATTATTCGGCAACAGACACAAAAGCAGCGCATATTCATACAGTTAAACCAATATTCTATTCTACAACACCGCTCCCTTTCTCTGCTTTATGCAGTCCAGGATGCCAGTCAGGAAACCATGCCACCTGAAGTGAGTAGGCTTTCCGCCTTTAACTCAGTGAAGATAATCCCCGACACGAATGCCTAGAGACCCGCCTTTGGGTTTGTATTGCTGTGAAGAGACACCATGCCCACAGCAACTCTAACCAAGGAAAACATTTAATGAAGGCTGACTCACAGTTCAGAGGTTTAGTCCGTTATCATCGTGGGGGGAAGCGAGACAGCACACAGGCAGGGCAGACGTGGTGCTGGAGACAGACGTGGCAGAGAGGTCTACATCTGGATCTGCAGGCAGCAGGAAGTGAGTGACGGTAGACCTGGCTTGAGCTTCTGGGACCTCAGAGCCCACCCCCTCGTGACTGAGGATGCACTTCCTCTTACAAAGACACGCCTACTGCGTCAAGGCCACGCCTCCTAACAGTGCCTGCTGCTCCCTCTGAGCCTCCTCCGGGACCCATTAGGTGATTTTAGATCTTGTCAAATTGACTGAAGTACTAGCCATTGCAGTAAGTTAACATGTCCCAGAACTCTCCGGGGCTCCCAAGCTCATTCAGAGGGCTCTGGTGTGCTCCGAGGCTGACCAGCATTTTTAATCACCATGTAATCAGTAAATGGTGATAGATTCTCAGTGGGATGAGGATCTGCCATTTCTCCATCCATGAAAACTTCTGGCTAGCTTCCTGAGTCAGCTATACTGCACTAAGAGTTGGACAACGCCGTGGGTGTGGAGAGCTCCCGCCAATGGACACCCACAGCTTATACGCTTCCTGTCAGTATCATGGTAGTTCCAATGGAGTGTGGAGCATCTACTATCCCAAATGCAAGAGGATGGAGAAGTCTCAGGCTGCCAAGAAATACTACTTTTGAGAACTGATACAATACGGAGGAAATAAAGGTTCCAAGAGCACAGACTAGGGTCAAATTCTTTGTCAAGTTACTTGGTATTTCTATGTTTTTAATTCTTAAAATAAAAACACGTCTCCTATTAGGCTTTGCAGGAGAGAAAGAGATGTGCAGGCATCACTTGACACCCAACAGATCCAGTAAGTTGAACTTAGGGAATTTCATTTTCTTTCCCCGAGCAATTGCCAACATTGACTGCTAGGTGGCGCCAACGGGCAGAGCTGCTCTTCCCAGAGGCTTTTATTTTTCACCCTAGAAACTAGGTAATCCTTCCTCTCTGCCAGGGCTCAGGCTGGCATTTAAAAATCCAGTGCTGCGCACAGACTTTGTGTGTGTTTTTTATTTTTTTGATCCATCTGCTCCATGGAGAATGTGAAACTCAGAAATACCTATTCCTAGCCAGACAGCCACAGGAGTTTTTAGATGATAAAGCTTAGTGATAGCTAACCCTGCAGTTGGGCATTCAAAAGAAGCCAGACGACACTGAATTAGTCACCGGTGTCTGTAAGCTTACCTCTGTCGTACATTGGCAAGGCTGCAGAGAGGACAGGAATTCAAGTCCAGGCTGTGTGGGCTCGCGTGTCGGTACCAGCATTAGCTCGGACAAACGATTTGATCTCGCCGAACCTCATTTGGGCAGTTTTGTTGTGATGTGGAGCTTGTGATGCTAATGAGCTAATACACGTGCGATCCCCAGCGCAAGGCCAGGTACTTCCCAAGTGTTCACTGGGTCTGAGGGCTGAGGCCTGCAGGAGTGTGAGCTTTGGGGTCAGATGACTATCATTTCGACATCTTTGCTCTCTCACCTGGAAGCCGCTTGTCCTTGAAAAGGTTAGGCAACCCCTCTGCCTTCCGTAGGGTTTCTATTGCTGTCATAAAACACCACGGCGAAAAGCATCCTGGGAAGGAAAGGGTTCATTTCGGTTTATATTTCCTCATCACTTTCCACCATGAAGGGAAGTCGGGACAGGAACTCAAACAGGGCAGGATCCTGGAGGCAGGAGCTGATGGAGAGGCCACGGAGGGGTGCCATTTATTGGCTTGCTCCCTGTTGCTTGCTCAGTCATGTTCACCCCAAGATTACCTACACAGTGGTGGTCCCACCACAATGGGCCGGGACCTTCCACACCAATCATTGATTAAGAAAAAGCTCTATCGGTTTGCCTACAGACCAATCATAGGAAGAGATTTTCCCCACTGAGCCCTTCTTCCCAGCTATGGCTCGGTTTGTGGTGAGCCCACGAAAGCCCAACAGGGCCCCGTCTGCATCTCGCTTTCCTTGTCAGTTGCAGAATATTGGGAAAATTACAGAGGTAGATATATTAAATATTTTACTTGTTGTTTAACGTTGTTCTCCTTGATCTAGGATTTGAGCTTACTTATCCAAAGTGGGGGGCAGAAATCTATTCAAATATTAGTTTCTTTTAATTGTCAGGATCAAGATGGAAGAAAAGCAGAGAGAAAACATGAAAAGAATAAAGGTAATATTAGCATTTTATGTCACATCACAGGATTTGGTAGATATTCTACGGTTGGGTCACAGTTTGGTTTTTTTGTTTGTTCGGTTTTTTTTTTTTTTTTTTTTTTTTTTGTAATCTTTCTGGCCTGGAGTATCTGAGCATCCAAGGCAAGAAAGAGAAGAAGAAATATGGTTGGTGGGATGACTCACAGGGCCACGATAAATGCAGAGGAGTTCTGAAGAAGAAATCTAGCTATTCCTAGGCCCGATGCTTAAGACACAGTAGCACATGGAGGATGCGCAATGGTTGTCTAAATGTTAGCTGTCCTCATCTTCGAGCACAGAGGGAAGAGTCAGCCTAAGAATAAAGGCGATAAAGAGGTAACTTTGGAGCTGAAGTAGCCGGAGTACGAGATTCCTAGGCGCCCAGAGAGCCAGAAACAGGGAGGAGTCTTTCCATAGGTGGGGCGCTGCAGGATCTGTACGGTGCCCACACATCAAGCCTGGTAATTTTAAAGTACAGAGCCCATGCAGGGGAGATGTTCCCTTTCGGCTCAAAGGCACAGGAACTTGTGGTATGAAGGCCTGGAGGGGAGGGAGGCCAGGGAGCAGTGTCCAAACAGCTGCTTTGCTTTATAGACTTTCTTTACTGGACATCTGGCACTTAAGGGCAATCTGTAGCAGGACGCTGTCTTTTTGTTCTTTTGTGAAGTGTGTTTTCTTTTGTTCTGTCTTCCCCGGAACTGAGAACAGTACCTCTTGAATGAAGAAAATGATGTTATCTTTCCATCCACACCTTTTAATTCCCTACAACCGTCGGAGATATAGTCAAGGGGCAAAAGGAAGCTGGGAAGCAGGAGGGAGGAAGGGAGGATTCTGGTACTCAAATGGCTTTGGAGAAGGAGGAGCATCGCCTTAGCAGGACACCAGCATCCTTTTGTTTTTTTGCTCTGTGGCATCTCAGAGCTCCTCAGTTCATAGACGAAGACCAAGGTCATGAGTGTTGTAATGTTCAGGTCACGTTGGCCACACAGGTAGCCTCTCTCGGAGCAAGGGCCAGTGCCTCTGGACTCCCAGGTTTGGGAAGAACACATTGTTCCAGAGCATGGGTTCTGAGTAGGAGAAGAGATGTGAGGAAGAATTTTTGATCTCATTCCCCACGGCAGTAAAGTACACATGAAATAGCTTCAGGGAACAGCCAGGGGCCTTTGCACAGTCTGACGGCCGTGTGTCTGCCTCCTGGTGCAACACTGGCTCCAACTCGCCAGCTGTAAACTCAACGGGCCTCTTACTGCTGGCCTGCTGGAGGAGATCTGAATTGTCGTCTTAAGTAGACCAGTTGTCTACATGTAAGTGTACAGTCACATTTGCACTGTCCAGTAGCTGCCATGTGTTCTGTCAATACTTGGGGCTCAGGCGGGCTACCTCTTCTTGAGGCTCCCTGTCTAATAAACAGGCTAGGGTCAGTGTAACCATCAGGAAACAGGAAAACAATCTATGGGAACGTGGAACAAGGAGTATTTAACCAGCCTGGGAGAGAAAAGGAGGCATGGGAGTTCTGGTGAAGAGAAGCTACCTGAAAGCTTAAGGGTGGAGTGGGAACTGAATTGGAGAAGGACTGGGGTGCAGGAGACAGAGGTTGTCACTGGATGAAGGGATGGTGCATGGGACCAAAAGACATGTCCAGAAAAATAAAGATGGTTTGTTCACTCAGTGAGTAGTCTGCAGAGGACGTATTGAATACTGGGTTCCTAGGACTGGCATAATAAACCGTTGCAACTGGTACCTTAAACTAACCAAAGTTCATTCTCTTATAGTTTAGGGGACCAGAAATCCAAGCTCAGAGTTCCAGTGGGGGCTTCTTTACTCTCTGAAGGCTTTAGCAGAGGGTCCTTCCCAATCTCTTTTAGCTTCTGGTGGCTTTGAGAGAGCCTTGGCATTCTGTGGGCTGTCACTCTGCAGTTAGCCCCTGTCTCCATCGTCCCATGGATTCTCAACCTTGAACTCTTGGTGCTTTATCTGTGTGCCCTCTCCTCTTCCCATAAGGACAACAGTCATTGGATTTGGGACCCACTCCAATCAAGTTTGACCTCTTCTCTTTAAAGATTACATCCTCAAGGGCCTTATTTCTACATAAGATCGGATTCTGAGCTTCTAGGTAGATTCCAGAGAGAAAAATCAATAGTTTTTTTTAAATTAATTTTTCTTTGAAAAAGGTCCCCGATACAAAATTCTTGAATCATTGCCTAGATAAATTTTGATTTAGGAAAGGGAGAGAATCATTGTTCATCTTAACCAACACACTGTCGCCTAGTTCTTAACCCCAAAGCCAATCAGACCAAGGGCCGATAACTCTCCCTAGCAGATGGTTTCTCAGCCACACAGGACCCTTTCCCAAAATGTGCTCAGTCAACAGGTGGAGACAGGAAGGAGAAAATGGCTGGGAGTTGTCTCTCTGCTCCTCTTAAGGGCTCTCATCTGTACAATGGGGCATAAATCATTTCACAGCCCATCTTCAAAGCTGCTGGGGGACAAAGCATTCAGCATAAGCAGTTGAGAATCTGTTTTCCAGGCTGTGAAGACCTCACAATGGTAGGGAAACTCTCATTGGCACTCACACCAACATCATGGCTCCTTTCTCCTTCCTTTTTAATTTTCAAATTTCAGTTCTTTAAACACATTCTCTCTCTCTCTCTCTCTCTCTCTCTCTCTCTCTCTCTCTCTCTCTCTCTCTCTCTCTCTCTCTCTCTCTCTATATATATATATATATATATATATATATATCTCCTATCCTTCTCCATCTTCCTCCCCATTTCTCTCTCTCTTTTAGAAGCAGAAAGAGTGGGATAAACTTCACAGAATCTGCTTCCTTCTCCTATAGACAGGGAAGGCAGGGTGAAGGACCATCCAAGTGTTCCAGCCCCTTGGGACTTTGTCCTAAACCAACAGGATTGCAAGGACATAGAGCTGTTGCTTGGAAGTCCTCGTGCCCAGAAGGTTGAAATGAGCTAATTAGTAATCTCAATGAGATTCGAATTCCTGAATACAACACTTGGAATTATTGCCTTGCTCCCAGGGACAGTGGCGTGAACAGTCACCCATTCCCAGGACTTCAGCACCTTTGGGCTCCTCTGCCCAGGACAGACGTAACCTGGTTACAACAGCCCAGAGTAGGAGCCTCATATCTCAGCTGCCATCTGGTTCCTAAGAACTGGCTCTAGCACAAGTTCTTGGTCCTGCTCTGACTCTTATCTTCGCATCCTCAGGGAATGTGACATGTGCAGTCTGGCAAGGAATCATGAAAGGGAGAAGGGATTTGAGGGTCCGGATAGCTGAGTTCTAGGTACGCAAATTTATATATGTTACTTTTAGTTTTCAATATTCAATTTTACCAATGATAAAAAAATAAATACACAATGTATTGGGCTGAGAAGATGCCTCAGTTGGTAAAAATCTTGCTTGCTTTTCAAGCACGAGGACTTGAGTTTGACCCCAGAACTCATGCAAAAACAAATCTGGCTGCTGTAGAATCCAGTGCTGGGGAGGTAAAGGCAGGTGGGCTAGGGGGCTCACTGGCCAGCCACCCTAACCTACATGGTGGGTTCAAGGCCAGTAAGAGGCCTAGTCTCAAACCAAGGTGGATGGGGCTTGAGGAACAGCACCCGAGCTTCTCCTCTGCCCTCCACATGCACACATGCATGTCTGCACTCCCCCACACAAGGACATGTGCACGCATGGAGGTCTTGTGCTTAGTTTTTTGGCATTACATATTTTAATAATTTGACTTGATAGTGAAGAGAAACATCCTAAGTGTCATATTGTTCGTGAAAGAACCTTGCCAATTTCCGTTACAAGACAGTTTCAGTTATGTGACTCATGATAGCAACAATTTAGAAAGAACATGACCCAAGCTGGCAATTAAACTCAATGATGTTGAGACAGTAACTGAGAATAAAGAACCCCTCTATGGGGAGACAGAGTCTTTAGATACAAGAAAAAATTATTTTTAAATAGTATTTTTATTAACTCTTTGAGAATTTCATACAAAGTATTTTCATCATTTTCACCGAACTTCCCCCAGATCCCACATCTCCTTCCAACTTAACCTTTTGTCCTCTCTTCTCTCCTCTCCCCTGTATTCTGTGAATACTATTGGTTAATAAAGAAGCTGTCTTGAGCCTGTGATAGAGTAGAATAGAGCTAGGTGGGGAAAACTAAACTGAATGCTGGGAGGAACGAGGCGGAGCAAAGGAGAAGCCATGGTGCCG